AAAAACTATTTAAACTACAAACAGTGTTTGTGTTCAGTGTGTGTATACTCTGGGGCCCTTCCACTCTCGTTTGGCTGCCTGGCTTGACTACTGCTGCAATACTCTGCTAGGGGTTAATCCCCAAACCCTAACAACTAGCTGTTAAGTAGTTTAAATACATGCTCATAAAATTTCAGTTTTAATTTAATGAATTTATAGAAAAAGCAAAATGAGGCAAGTGCTTCAAAATGTGATAATAGGCAGTGCAGGCCAAATTCAATCAAAGTCCCAGGAAACCTATTTTCTGCTGGGTTAGCAAAAAATAAATAGTTTTTGGAAAGAAATTTGAATGAATTTAAAAACAAATTCTGGAACATAAAAGCAAATAGAAGTAATAATTGTGAAATGTTGAACTGATGTTCAGCATAGATAACGACAACATAATTATTACATGTTGTTATTAAGGCATTGTACAAAATAACTCTTGCCACCGATACTTACAAATAATGCAAATAAGATTAGCTTTGAACCTAGTAAACAAATATTAGCACTAAAGGATCAACACAATCCAGTTGAAACAATAAACTGGGGATACTGCAGAGGATATTTACCCAATGGTTTAACAAAGGTATTAATCTACAATAGTCAACTATCAGATGCTCCGCCTCTAAACTATTAATTAAATTAAAAATATTTTAATACCCTTTTAAAAAGTTATCAAATTTCTATAGAGATATAAAGAAAGAAGAACCACTGGCAACATCCTGAAAGGCCTGGAACTCACAGTCACCCAGGAATGAGAAACTGAAAGAAGAGTGAGAATTAGAGGAATGTAAAAAATGAACAAAAGGATAGGTGAATATTGGGAAATTTATTAAGTACACCTACCAATTAGGATCCAGTGAGGAGCCTTGCACTATACTGAAATATGAGAATAAGGTGAAAAGATTGGAATAGCCAAGATAAACTGTTCTGGAGTAAGTTCAGAGGAAGGAGAAAAAAATTAGAATCTGTTAAAATAATGTAGACATGGGACAACTAAGACATACACCTAAATAGCATTTCCTCTGCAAGGAAGCCCAGAACACGAATTAAGTAATGACTAGAAGTGGCAGTTGTGGCTAGGTTGACCTTGGTCAGTTTCAGATTGTATTTCCAGTTGTTCCCATTCACTTTCAATCACTCATAGATTGATCACTTCCAGAATGGATTAGTGCAATGCTATACCGTAATGTTAAAATACTATAAGGGGCTGCCCTTGAAGAGCATCTGGAACCCATAATTGGTTCAAAATGCAGTGGTGTGGGTATGCAAAAGAATATGCAAAATCCAATACTGTAGCAGATCTCATGTCTTAATATAGTGGAGATTGCCACTGGCTGCATAGTATAAAATTCTATCTGTTTATCTTAATGTAGAGCTGGTATTGTCTTCAAGTCAAACTTGTCTCTTAGTGTCTGCCTGGACAAGTCCCTGCAGTTTTCTTGGCAAGATTTCAGAAATATCTTGCCATTTGCCGACTTCCTTGGGGTAAGAGAGAGAGGGAATGGCCCAAGGTGAGCCAACTGGCTTTGTGCCTAGAAGGGGACTAGAGCTCATGCTCTCCCAGTTTCTAGCTTAATGCTTTAACCACTACACGAAAGTTCAGAATTTAATATCATTAATATGCTGAAGATACCCAGTTGGATATCTTATGTTGAGTCATGAAGGAGATGGTATCAGGATCCTTTCCTGACACTTAAAGTCTAAAACAGGTAGATGCTGATTCCACCAAATTTATTCCTTAATGGACAAGTACTACTTTTCAGAGACTAAGCCTGCAGCTTGGGGAACATTCCGGACTTACAGCTCATCCTGGGTCAGCAGGTAAAAATCATGGCTGGGGGAGGGGCTATTCCCATCCTCATATGGTCTACCTGGGACAAGAGAACCTGGTTACTGTAATTATGTCCTTTTTACCACCCAGTTGGACTATTGCAATGAGCTCTACTTGTGTTCCAAAGGTGCTTTTTTCAGGAGGCAACTGGACTTTCTTGTTTTTTTCTTTTGAAGGCATTTTGCTTCTCATCCAAGAAGCTTCTTCAGCTCTGACAGGATAGTGGGGAATGGAAGGATTTATATTCTTTGCAGACATTTGCATCCTTTTAGAGGGTCATTGAAGCACTTGGAGGTTTTTATCTGTGTCCTCAGGGTCACCTGAGTAGTGCTCCTTACCTGTAGTCTGCAATTTTTTCAAAGTTGCAAATTACCAGCTGTCTGCAAGGAATATAAATCCATTCCCCACTATCCTGTCAGAGGTGAAGAAGCTTCTGGAATGAGAAGCAATACGTCTTCAAAAGAAAAAACCAGAAAGTCCAGTTGCCTCCTGAAAAAGCACCTTTGGGACAACCATGACCTGGATGACTGAGAATCTCTATAGACTTTTCGCTCTACTTGTGGTTACCCATAAAGAGTATTTGGAAAGTAAAGTTGGTCCAGATGCATCAACCTATTATGTACTTTCTTGGTGTTGGGAGGATATAACACCATGATGGAGTATAAAATATGGGGTAAATCAATACCCAGTCAAATCAGATTATCACTAATACAGAAAAGATATTTACAGTAATTTGAGTTTGTATCTTTTTGGTCATTGAATCAACAGCGGTGATGCCAACTGAAGAAGGGACATGTTGCTTAGTCGAGTAAAATTTCACTAGGTTAGCAATAATAATAATTGTAGCTTTGTAAAATCAACTTTGTTATTGTAGAATACATCTTTTATATGTATGTTTCTAACACATGCTAAGTAATGTATCTTTCTATCAAGAAGCTTTGGGTGTGATATATAATACAATAAACCATTAAGCAAAGTATCCTGGGACGTTTTTAGCAAGGTGGTGATTTAAAAATGATAAAACACTGTAATTTCCTAATTCTAGTTAACGTGGCTTGTCAGATTATACAAATGTTGCTTTTTGTAGGAACATGCTGTTACAAAGAAGAAGCATTCAAAAAAACATAAAAGGGAAAAGAAGAAAAAGACTAAAAGAGAAAAAACAGATGATTCACCTGATACTAGCTCTGTAAGTTTTAAAATCCAAGTTGCCAGCTGAGAGAAAGCTATTTGTTACCTATATTAGTGACTAGCTCTATACCAGTGCTTTGCTACAAAACTTTGGATTGGGCTTAGTTTTTGGGGAAGAAAATAAGGGGAAAAATATTCTGCCTCTGCCTACCAGCATCCATCAGTATTCATCTGGCTAGCGTCCTGTCAGTGTGAGAGTTGAGGGCTGTTTGGAAACTGAAATATGGAAACTGAAACAGTATTTGCTGTGTGAGCAAGAAGGAGACAGCAAGGAGCCTGGGTGTGGCTTAGCTCAACCGTTCTGTAGTAAAGCTGGTGGCTACTGTGAAACTGAAACTGAAACTCCTCTCCTCTGCTTGTGTTTTGCATTTAGAAGAGATTTCTTTTCAGGTGGGGAAGGGGAGTAGAACTCCTTAGCATTAGAACTTGTTAATAATAATATAGGAAATACTAATGCTCTGATAGTCATTTTGAAAAATCCTTTCTTAGTGAGCACCTAGAAGCCAAGAGGAACATACATGCCAAATTTCAAGTTTGTAGGCTTTACAGTTCTGAAGATTTTGTGATGACGCACGAGTGCTTTTTCGCTTTTATATGTGTGTGTGTGTGTGTGTGTGTGTGTGTGTGTGTGTGTGTGTGTATTATATACTTAGGCCTCAGTTTGATCAATATCCTGCAATTTAATTTAATTTAATTTAATAGGCTATTTTTTTAAAAAAAGATAAGGATGCAAATAGATGGTCAGGGGAAAAAAATTCCACCTATATTAAGAAAGTGGGCTGAACAGATAGTGAAATGAACATTCATTTAGAAGCATACTTCTGATGTAACATGGAAGAAATAGAAAGCTCATTGTAGAAAGAGCCAGATTTCAGCTGCTGGGTCTTTTCTCATAGTGCTATATGCATTCAGTATGGGTAATAATGCATCATTAGACACAGTATACAGAATATTGGCCTGCTTGAAAGGTTAAATACGAACTTGTTTGTCTTGTTATTGCTTCTACTGATGCTGTTCATTGCAATACTTGACAGCAATGTTATTTGGACTCTATTCTACATTATTACTAGATATGCTCTGCACAATTTTACAAATTTAGCTTAAGATTCTTCAATGGTAGAAAATCTCACAGCCTTCTATAATATAGTAACCTTCAGATAATATCGGATTTCAAGTCCCTGAGGCGCAGTTGGATTAGCTGGTTTGATAACAAAGCAGTGTTTTATATCTGGTGGCTGCATGCTTTTTCTTAAACTATAGATCTGCTTATGATCAAGGTCGATTATTTCGCTAGAAGGAAGTGCCATTAACAATACTGTTGTCTGCACTTTGTTTGGGTTTTTCTTCTAATTGTGTTGTTATGCATAGGCTATATTGTTGCTTCTTCTCATCATTCCCACTAGTTCTGCTGATTGCGTGACTTCCAGCTGTGAAAATGTGTTGGCTTTATTTTAGCATTTTAAGTGGTCATTTATAACAAGGAAGACTGCAAAAGTAATTCCTTTGAAAAGTCTTCTGAGAGTTAACAACCCGTCTTTTTATGTAGCGCTGTATTATTAATAATAGTACCCAAGTGAACAAATTGATGCCTATTTTCAGTGGGGAAAAGTGACTGTAATAAATATCAGCTGTACTTAGTTACTTTTTATCTGATTGCCCAACTCTTATAAATACATTTAAAGAGCTGCAGTCGCCAATAAAACTATTATAATGTTATAATAGTCCCTTTATTCTCTCTTTCTGAATAGCTAAGATAACTCTCTTAGTCATATAGAAAAGGAAATAGGTTTTTAAATGACTTTTATATTGTTTCACTGAGCTTAAAAGGCCTCTACAATCCTCTAAAACACATATGATTATTTGAAAATGTGTTCTTAGGGTTCTTCAGAAGAATGGGTGGAAGCGCCTGTTGCACAGTCTTCTAGCACTGTGCAGGCTTGGAAGGCGAAGAAAGAAGAATCAGAAGAAACCGTGGAAAACCCTACATCAATTCAGGTTAGCATCCTTTTTGTAGATGGAAATTGTGTTTAACATTTGAGGAAAGAAGTCGGCAATCAGTAGAGAAATGTCAAACTGGTTGCAGGGCCAGGGATTCTTGTTTTTCCTTAGACTGGGAAGATTTTTTTAAGAAACGATGCTAATCCTATTTTAAGACTTATCCTACAACTTTTGTGTGATAATGCCTCAAGAGATTCAGTTGGCTCCATCCCTTCTGAGATTTTGGAAAGCTTTAAAAACGTGGCTCTTTTCCTGGATACAGAGGTTGAGAGGTTAATTTGATCTGTGTGACTGATGTATCCTCTGTAAGCAATTTATGCCATTCTTGGTTGTCACTATTTATATCTATTACTATTGATTGTAGTTGTGTTTTTAACTTTATGTTAGCTTCCCAGAGTTGCCCTTGTGTGATGATCATATAAATTGATTGAAATAAACAAAGCAATAAGAGACAGGCAATCATTTCTATGATTTCTTTCCCCACAATTGCAGTTGAAAGTTCAACATTGATTACAAACAAAAACTACCAGTCCAGGGACAGAGAGTTTCAAACTTCCCTGGAGTAGTGATATATAATTTTTAAAGCCTAGAATGCAGATCCTAATGTTCTATAAGGATAGTTGGTAGATTTCCATCAAGTACAAAGTTCAGCAACAGAGTCGTCAATGTCTGGAATACTCTACCTGACTCTGTGGTTTTCCCCCCCAAACCCGAAAAACTTTAACCTTAGACTGTCTACTATTGACCTCACCCCTTTCCTAAGAGGTCTGTAGGGGGTGTGCATAAGTGCACCAACGTGCCTACCATCCCTGTCCTATTATTTCTTTTATATATTTTTTCTTATATATATCCATGTATTCATAACTATGTTTTTACTTATACCTATTATCTTGTAAGCAATTGACAAATAAAAATAAATAAAATAAAAATAAATAAAATAAGTTCTAATTTTTTAAAACCAGAAAGTGGTTCATAGTATTCTGGGCAATGGCATATTCAGGAAGGAAAAAAATAGAGTGCTTCAGAAAACACCAGGAAATTCCATCCTTGATTTTTCCTTGTGAAGTGCTGGGGTTACAGTGGCAATCAGGACTGCTAGGACAGTCATCACTAAGCAATGCGGTCACATGTCATAGCTCTTTATGATTGAATCATAATCCCAATTGTTATTGTAGCCCGATGGTTACCTACATTTCTTGTAATTAATACAGTTTTATATTTTGTTTCTTGAACTGCCGAAGAAAAAAGATGTGGAAAGTATATGTGATAGTGTCTGGTTAGAAATGAGAAGAAAACTCCTATTATGTGAAGAAAAGCAAGCGATTCACCAAAATTTGGAATGAATTAGTTGGTTTCTGAATATAAGAAATATGAAACAGATAATGTTCTCTGATTTTATCACAGTGATTTTTTTTTTATTTTAAGAGCATAGATATAATTTCCCCCATCCCACTGTTATGCTGACAGGAATAAAAATAAGTGTAATGAAGTTTTTAAAATTTTTCAATATGCATTGAAAATATGAGAGAGAGAGAGAGAGAGAGAGAATGAATCTGTTAGTAAATGTTTTCCTAAAGAAAGTAAAAGAGCTAAATTCGAAAAGTGCAGTAAAACCACAATTCCTGAGAGCATGAAGATAGCATTATGCAGACATGCTTTTCAGACTTGAAAAGGGCAAAGAGCAAACATTTTACATTAAACAATAGACAAGTATTTTGAAAATGAGGATTCCACCGTTTGAGATTCTTCTTCCACAGCGGCAGAAGCATTTGGGGAAGCCGTCAGCAATTCAGTGTAGAGGTGGATTTTTAAAAACGATATTTTATTTCTGGCTTCTTTTCAGGAATGACTTGGGGTTAGTAACACATCTTAAAACATCAGTAAAATCAGCTGTAAGCCTAAAATAATATGCTTACCAACCATTTTTTTATTAGCATATCCCTTTAAGAAGTACTGTTCATAAAACATATTTACAGGGCTTTGGGGAATATTTAAGGCTGACTCTTTTCCTGTAAAAGAAATATTTTTCACCAATATTTTTCATCAGTGCTGTGCTTGACTGCCCTTGCAGGATTTCTGAAGGCAAGAGTACATGTATGGCTTGGCCAAAAGTGTAAATAGGTTGAGTTCATTTCAAAGCATTGCATGAATTGCTGATATTATAATGCTTTAATGTTTATTGTGGGTTGCGGTTGCCAACTATTTTAATACTTTTGAGAATGGGAATTATCAATTATAATAATGAGGGCAGATCTTTTAATTATTCTCTTCCTCTGGGTCATGAATATTTTCTCATATTTTTATTTCCAATGGTTCTGGCAAATTGTTTTTCTTGAAAGCCTTTCAACATGGCCCTTGACGTGCAAATACTATTCAGAGTATCCAAACTGGGCCACAAACAAATGTGTACGTTTACTGAATTCATCTTGGCAGTTCATCTGATACTTGGACAGTTTGAGCAGCTAAATACTGCACCTGACTTATGATGCCCAATTGAATAAAGCAGATAAATGAAATTGTGTGCATTGCATACCACCAATGTTCCAGCATCTTGTAAAATTGTCAAAATATGAGATTCTTAACAGAGGAAAAAATTTCCCAATGGTCATATACATTTGCATTATATTCCTATTCTCACATGATCTATTGTCCTTACTTAAAATGCATTCTTTAAAACATGTGTATGGAATTAGAAAAAACGATGGATAGGCTAGGCTTATGAATTGCTGTAAGACTGTTAAATGGAAATTATTCTATTTTAATGTCTTCAAAACACCCATCAACTTTCTTTATTCCACAGCCTGTAATTTCATCTTTTCTGTCATTTATCTCAAAAGTAAGCTGTTGCTGAGTTTGGATCTTTTTTAATAAGAAAAAAAATATGTGTTCCTTTTTTCATAGAGGGATGAATGGATGACCTTAGATTTTATGTCTGTGAAAACACTGTCTTCAGCATCACTGAGGGCTGAAAAGCAGAAAGAAAAAATATTGAAGCAGCAGAAAGCACAGGAAAATGAACAGGTAGGTTTGGTTACTAATTGATTAAAAGATTGCAAGGAACTAGCCAACAGCCAGAATGTGAATTTCTTCAGTTATCAGATATTAATTTGAGGATTCAATTCTCCTGAGAGCGAATTCAGGTTTCCATGCTTTATTTATAATATATGTGTAGCCATAGGGCATTCCATCCAGCAGTAATAAGTATTCTGCTTGTCTGGATGATTCTTGCCAAAAAATGAAAATAAAATCCTAGGAGCAAATGAAGCCATACTTTTTGTGATGTATATGAATTAGAAAAACAGAATGATTTAAATATAAATAAAAGTAACATTAAATAAATTACTTTGCAAACAAAATGCAAGAGCCTTCGCTGAATTTTAATTTGACAATTTTGGAAGGTAATAATTGGTTCCCTGTTTGTTTTTAAACTAAAAAGCTTGAATTATTTTATTGCTGGTTATGAGCCCAGTGTTGAATTGTGGTTTCTTACTTTTAATTGTATTTTAATTATTCATTATATTAATGGGTGGAATGCCTTATGACTACACATATATAACGAATAATGCTTTTCTGTTAATAATCAACTTATGCCATTGTTGTCAAACTAATTTTTTCCCCTATTTTTGATGTAAAATCGGTTGAACTTATATATTTATTATTTATTAGCTGAAATAAGTTAAAGTTTTGGGATACTTTCAATCTTTGAGTACAACATTAGCAACAGCAGTAGCATTTTAGACTTGTATACCACTCCATAGTGCTTTACAGCACTCTCTGGGTGGTTTACAATATTTGCTTATTGCCTCCAACAATCTGGCTCTTCATTTTATTGACCTCGGAAGGATGGAAGGCTGAGTTAACCTTGAATCCCATCAGGATCGAACTCCAGGCTAAGGGCAGAGTTTGCCTGCCACAGTGACTTAACCACTGCACCATGTTAAAACATATAACACAGAACAATAGGATTGGAAGGAATTTTGGAGAGCAATCCCTGTTCAAGCAGGAGGCCTATGCCATTCCAGACAAATGGCTGCCCAGCATCTTCTTGAAAACCTCCAGTGATGGGGCACCCACAACTTCTGTTCCGCTGATTAATTGTTCTCACTATCAGGAAATTTCTCCTTAATTCTAGGCTGGATCTCTCTTTGTTAATATTCCACCTATTACTTGTCCTGCCCACAGGAGAATAGGTTGGCTCCTTCTTCTCTGTGACAGCTCCTCAAATTCTGGAAGACTATTATAATATCACCCTAGTCCGTTTTTTTTGTTTGTTAAACTAGACATACCTTGTAGCGCAATTGTTCTTCATATGATTGTAGAGGTAAAGTAAATTGGATGAGGCACAAATGGTACTTCCATGAAACTATTAACTATGCAACTTTTTGGTTTTTTTTTTTTTAATTGCCAAATAGTTGCTGCTTGCAGAAAGAGAACTGAACCCATATTGGAAAGATGGTGGTACAGGCTTACCAACAGAAATATCAACATCAGTAAAAGGTAATATTGTTCTATAAATTTTGACTGACTCTCTCTCTCTCTCTCTCTCTCTCTCTCTCTCTCTCTCTCTCTCTC